TAAATTAAGTGCCTAGTTTGGTGTGAACTCTTGTTGGTGCAGGAGTTGTGGTAGTGGATTGCCTTCCTTTAGGGTGGCCTGAGGATGTTACATACATTCTCTGGGCACTTGGAGATGCCCTGCACACACTGATGCCTGAGCTGGGTCTGAAGTTGCAGAGAAAATTTCCTGAAGGAGGGGAGTAAGGTAACAAGGAACTTGTTAGGTCTCCTGTAGGCCTCTAGCTTCATAGAGAAAGTCTGTTTTCAATATTTGGCAGTTGGAACTAGATGATCTTTAAGGTCCCTTCCAATCCAAACCATTCTATGATTTGGAGAAACAGAAGATAAAAGGATTGGCATCCACAGATGTTACTTCCACCTGCAGGACTGTTTCTGCCACTGCCTATTTGTTGTAGCCTGGGTTTCTGTTCTGATTTTGTGTTTCAATCACAGTGTTTGCAGCTGGATGTAGACAAGAGAACATTAGTTTCATAATTCTCAGCTTCTGTCTCGGTTCATGGTTCCACATATCTTATACTTCACCACTTTCTGGTTTAACGCAGCTCCCTGGGGGGCTTGCTACCAGACCAATAAAAATGTCCTTTAAAAGTTATGACCTTCTTCCCCACTCTCCCCTCTCCCTCTCAAATCTGAACAGTTGAGGTGGAGGGTATCTTCCCTCTGGGCGATGTGATGGATCTGTTCTGCAGTTTAGCACAGGTAACTGAATGCACCGGGAACAGGAGGGGTGGGAAGGAGAAGAAGGCAGTAGGAGACCCAGCAGCCTGAGAAGGAGCACAGTAACTGAAGCTCAGCATAGAGGCAAGCACATAAAGCTGCTGGGCAGTGCCCCTCTTAGCCGAATCCAGCCTGACAGCCCAGGACAGTGAGTCGTGGTCCTGCAGCCCTCCCCGAATCTCTCCTGTCCTGTCGCATTTGGCTTCTCACATTCAAAGTCGCTCGGTTGTCAAAACAATTTCTTCCCTTGCCTACACTCCATCTATAATTCATTAAGAAGAGCAGAGAGGTGAAGCAGTCAGCTTTTCCCACTCTTTCCCCTTTGGAAAGCGTAGGCCGAGTGTGGTTTGCAGCAGGACATGAATGAATGGTTGTAAAACCCAGAAGCCAAAGGGAAGGTGGTGAGAGAGGGACACGCTGCCATCTCCTGCCAGGCCTCCTGGGCCACCAAGCTTGGCATCCACCTCCCACAAAGCATGTCCCTGATGCATTTTGCTGTAAGCTTGGGCGGATCTTTGCTCCGAAACCCCAGGTCAGATCCTAGACCCAAATCACGATGGATCTGTCCATTCCTGGGCTTCAAAGGAGTTCAGGTCTCAGTCCAAGCTTTTCCTCACTACTTAAAGTTGTCACTCCATGTGCTCCCTAATATTGCAGCCTGTATCTTAGGCAAAAAACTGCTTCAGTCCAGATAGAGTTTTTTATCCTTCAGCTTGGCAACAAATTGGCAGTTGCGTGCCCTACACTCCCATCATCACCAACTCAGGCTGAACTGCCTCAGCTCTGCTTTATTCCTGCAACTGCTGTAAGGAAAAATAACACATTATTCACTGTGAAAGTGCAGGTCATGAATTGAAGTATCCGTCTTTTTTAAAACTGCAAATATAATTGTGCATTTAAGTGCAATTTTGAGGAAATGGCTATGGGCGTTATTTGCCATACAGGTTCCACTAATGGTAAATATTGATGTCTAAAAAGCACGAGAAATTTGCCACAAGAAGGAGAAATTTTATTCAATGTAGTGTAAGGATTAGTTTTCTGAACTGACAATGGCTTTCAAATGTGAACACAAACTCTAGTTTGCATTTTGCCTTAGATGAAATAACCAATTTTCTTATCCAGGTATTCCAGGCCTGTCTCTATTACTCATTTCTGGAGTTCAGCATCACCAGCAACTTGTGTGATTTCTGTCGAAAGGGTACAATGAAAGAAATCTTCATCTTAAAAAGATCATCACATACAAAAAAAAAAAAAAACCAAACACAAAAAAACCCCCAAACAAACAAAAAAAAACCAGTTCGAGTGACTGTTACTCTGTCTCGGCGATGTCTCTCTGCAAGGTTAAACTATTCAAGTCTGTCAGTCTTTCAGGGCTGGAGGTCGGACTTTTTTCAAGCCCAGCAGATGAAGGACCCATGTAATCTCCATCTTTAGCAGCTCTGAAGCACCCTCGCTAGAGCCACAAATCCCTGTCCTCGAACGGAGAGATTCACCAGAGGGCAGCACAATATCACTTCTTATTGTAACAGTAGGCGTTAATCATTTCAAGCTAAGAGCTTTTGAAATTAGCTGCGTGTTGTTCTATAGTTATGACTGAAAATAAGTTTATTTTTAAAACTAGCCTCTGAAGCAGCTCCAAAGTCCATTCCACTAGGCGTATGTTAACATTTTAGTGTCCAGCCTTTCACCCAGTGGAAGCAGAGAAGTCATAGACAATTGTACTTTCAATGTATCTCTCTGTCCAGGGCAGGTCAGGGCAGCTGATGGGTGCTTGACCAGCTTCAAGTATTTCAGCAGCTCTCCTGTGTAAAAAGCATCAGCCCAAGTGAATCTTATTTTAGTCTTATCGTTTGGGAGGCATTAAAGAGTAGGAGTAAGCCCTCTGATGGCACTTCGTGAGTAGGGTTCACAGTGGGTGAATGTAGGCATGCTTTTTTTTGCATTGTAATTGTATTTACTTCTGGTTGTCCTGTATTGCTGAGCAGTTTCTAGGTCCTCTAGAATTTATGCCAAACTCTCACTGTTCAAGGAGCTAAGAGGAGTCACTGGTCACATCTTGCCTGCTCAGCATCCCTCATGCAGGGCTTCATCTGTTGTCAATCTGTTCCAATTTATTACTTTATTCTGCTTGCACAGCTAACTGGTGTCTTCCAGCAGCTGCCTCCCTTCGTTCAAGTGCCACTGTACTTTTCTAACTTTTAGTGACCTTTTTCTCTCAATTTACAGTCAGAGCTTTGGTATACGAATTCTTGCTCTTTTGCTGTAGATTAACTACATCTTCTGTCCTTGGACATTCTCTTTGCTCTATTTGGCTTCTGCCTGGTGGGATGTCTGAAGTCTAGCTTCAGTCTTGCACTTCACTCCTGACATTCACATGTAGGTCTCCCTCGACTCTCTCTCTGATCTCACTCCTTTTTAAGCTCAGTCTCAACTTCATCCACTCTGCTCATCCCAACACTTCCTAACTGTACTGAAGTCTTCAAAGATGCAGCTTTTCTATGGGGTTGCCCCCCATGCATCCTTAGCTTTCCTTAGCTCAAATATTACCTTTATTTAAAGGCCAGCAGCTTTAAGAATATATGTGTAGAATAAAAGAATAACATCCTACCATATTACCTTTTGGTACATTACTTAGTCTTCTGAGAGGAGAGTAGGTTTTTTCTTCAGAGAAGGTATAAAATCATTAAATTAGTAGTAGAAATAATTTAAATCATATCTTTCAAAACAACTTTGTCTGCTTTAAAAAAAAAAAAAGTGATTCTGTTTTAAGGAAAAGGAAAAATATTTTGAAATCCCTATTCATTTTCTTGGATTTTTCTTTTCCCAATAATTGGGGAAGAAAAAAAAAGGTTTCTTTTTCATAAAAAATAAAAGTTGAAAAGAAAAATACTTTCTATTCAAAACACTTAACAAAGGTTTGGAGCCAGTTAAGGCAGCCAGTGCAGTGTGCTTTGTAGTGTTTTCTAAATGAGGACAGTCCATCACCTCTACGGGAATCCATCCCAGTTCACAGTGCACTTGCACCTCATCAGAGAGGTCTTTGTGGGCATTACACCAAGTTTTCTCCTGTCTCAATCTGATTCTGCTTCTCTGAAAGTCTCTCCATTTCAGAGCCAGTGATGTGACTATGACTCAGTGTAGAAATAACCCGAGTTTTGCTTTAAAATAGGGATGAGGCAGGGCTGAATCAGACTCACATCTGCAATATACATCATTTTCAGAGTGGTATGCCATTGCTTTCAAATGTTTACTTTTTCAAACTCTACCAAGATAACCCCAGAGAGCAGTGACTAACATCATGTTAGTGCTCAAGGCTACAGGTAAGACATACCTGTGCTTTGGCAAGGTGTGCAACACCCACTCTTACCATTCTGTGTATTTATGGGTTTAGAGAAGTTACAGATTATGTAACTTTCTTATAAGTTGGCTAAACTAGAAATATTTAACTACACTTTGAAGTTGGTCTTTCCAGGATCAGCAGATTTTTCCATCTTTTGTTTGTTTCTTCCCATTTCGAGTTATTGCAATGTGCAATGCTATTAGTATCTAAACTTAAAGAAAAAAACCTTTTCTCCACCATGGATAAATTAGTAAAAATTGGTTCTTCTTGGAAGGTGTCTAGAAGTCTGATCCTGCATGGCAGAAACCAGTGCGCCCATTTTATGTAGGAACAGAAATGTTAGTTTTAAGAGCTACCCAGTCATATAGCTTAGTTACTAAGTTTATTCTGCTGACTCACCAAATTTTCTCTGATGTGAATGGCCTTTTTTTGTGAAATTAATCCTTTTTTTCCCTAAGATTTTAATAACAAAATGGTGACATGGTGATTTTTTATATAGATATGATAGTAGTACCTAAATGAATTTGCTATTACAAAATTTGCTTCCGCTGCAAAGAAAAAAACTTTGCATAAGTTGTAGTTGGTTTTGAAAGCTCACTTTTCAAGTTAACAAATATCACTGTAAAATACTACTCTGTCTCTCAAAGTGGATTGATAAACTTTTTCCTCAAAATGTTAGTGCAGCGATACTGTACTACCTTTTACTCATGTTGAGATTGTAGATCAGTAACAGCTTGTGTTAATATTTGACAAGGTTTGTTCTATGTCACCATCAGAAATAGAGCTGAAAATCTCTTTGGCTGGCTGGCTTGTACTTGAAACTGTTTGTGTTTTTTTTTATAAGATCTACATTTGAAAATCTCTCCTGCCAGATTTGTAGCTGTCAGATTCATTATCTTCAAAATTTATACTAACCTCTAATGGTGCTTTTCTTTCTGCAGAAACAGAAGGTGCATGCAGCACCGATGCCAGCCTTCTCCAAGGAATAACTTCGTCATCCCCAAGTGACTCCAGCTCTTGCTAGTACCATGGGGCCAGAGGGTGGCTTCTTAGGCAGTGAACAGGTCCATGTCATCCTGTGGGGAAGTTTGGCAGCCATGACAACACTGTTGTTCCTCACCTTCCTCATCTTCCTCTGCTCCAGCTGCAACAGGTAAGGCTCAGGAGCTTAGCAGGCAGTAATGTTCTTGAGTCAGATAGTGAGGGGATTGAAATAGCTTCACTAATAACTAGTCAGCAAGAAATACTGAGGACTTAGGTACAGAAATAAAAAAAAGCGCAGTGCAAAATCTATTTGGAAAGCAAACCTGAATTTGAACAGTTCTGTTCATTCTAAAATCTAAACTTTTTTATCTTTTGCTGTGAAGGAAAAACACTATTGTGTTTGCTAGGTGCTTTCTGCTAAGCTGAAGCCTGGAGCACATGTGGACAGTGACTGTTAGCAGATCACACTACTAATTTGAAACAGAGAAAATTAGGTGGGCTAAACAGGACCAAAAAAGTATAGGTAAAAAGAAAGGAAAACAATTCCTATTATTTCAGCTTTACTTTGGCCATTCCTGAAGACTAGGGATTTGATCTTGCTGTTCAAGTCAAAATGAGTAGGAATCAAACGGTGATACTAATTAATGTCTTATACTCAGACCTTACCCTTATTTTCTTTTCCATAAGAGGGTTCAGTTTCACCAATACAGACACTTCCACTGACTTTATTTATGTTTCAAGACCCCTTCCTGTGCTCAATCCACAGTGCCCTTCCATCAGGGCGGACTGATCAGACACTTCACAACGAGCAGAAAGACTGCTTGGGTCCATATTGCCACATTTTGCCAATCAACCAGCCAGGTGTACAGGGAGAAGAAAAAGCCCTATCCATAACTCAGTACAATGGCACAGTCTTTGCTTTGGACCCTTATGCCTATAGGAGCATGTTCTTTCAGCAGTTCAGCATTGAGAGCATTGAGGAAGCTGCACAGCCATAAAATACATTATATTGGCATAAGGTTTGTCTACAGTGGAAGGCTCTGTCTTTCATCAGGATTTCTCTAATGCTGACGTTGCAAAAAACAGTCGTGGACAAGACCAGACTACAGAAGTTTGTTGAAATCCTAAAAAGCATAAGTTGGAATCGTAGTACCGTGTGGTTCAGAAGTGCTTTTGTAAGCTCTTAGGTGACATTTCAGTATCTTCCTATTCATCTGAGTTTCTTGTGGTATTTGTGTAAAACTACTAGAAATAGGTTGGTTTTTTTTATTTATTTAAAATTATAAAACCTGTTTTAAAACTCCTTAAGCCCACAAACATTGCATTTAGGTACCATGTTTTCTCTTGTAACACTCTACTCCTTGAAACATCTCTAGAAAGATGTTTTTAAAACAGAGTCAAACCTCTGAGTATTTCTTTGCAGTTACAGAGATACTTTGTCAGAAACTATCTGGTGATGTTCTCCAATAAATTCTTGCGTTGCTAGTCTGGACACAGTATTTCTTATTTCGGGTCATTCTGTAGGGCAGGTTCTTTATGTATAAATGCAATTATGTAAAATTTGTTCCTAGCTTACTCTTCAAAAATGGTTGAGGACATCGAAAACTGAACAAATTCTGCTCTTCCTAAAATGTCAGTCAGAAAAGTTCCATAGAGGAAGTTCAGTATTTGTAAATTGTAACCGTGCTCTGCATTGGTGCAGAATTACTTGCTTCTTTTTCTTCCTTCTCAGTTAGGTAGAATTTTAACAGTTGCTTATGTGGGAAGTATGGTGCATTGCAAACTTCAGAAACAGCAGAGTTCATACTGTCAGTATTTTCTTACCCTTTTCCTTGCCTTTTCATCCACAGAGACGTTATAGCGGCCTTCCAGTACTTACTACAGGGCCTACAGGAAAGATGGGGAGGGACTTTATCAGGGAGTGTAATTACAGGATGAGGGGTAATGGTTTTAAACTGGCAGAGAGCAGATTTAGTTTAGATATAAGGAAGAAATTCTTTATTGTGAGCGTGGTGGTGTCACGTCTCTCACAGGTGGGACACTGGCACAGGTTTCCCAGAGCAGCTGTGGCTGCCCCCTCCCTGCCAGTGTTCCAGGCCAGGTTGGTTGAGGCTTGGAGCAACCTGGGCTAGTGGAAGGTGTCCCTGCCCATGGCAGGGGGGTGGGAACTAGATGATCTTTGAAGGTCCCTTCAAACCCAAACCATTGTGTGATTCTGTGATTCTATTATTATTTTAAACTCATGCTTTATTACAGTATTTCTGAATAAGTGCCATATTTCCAAAATGATAAAAACTGTACACGTGATTCATACTTTGAGTCCTATGAAATACTTAGTGAAGCGGGATTCTTTTTACGTCTAAGTTCAAGGCCTCTGCTGCTATGAAATTTGTAGGCCTTCTTGAACTGTTTGCACTTATTGTTAATTATAACCAGCATCCTCAGTGGGAGAAGGCTGGATTTTGTGGACAACTTCTTCATAGGATAAACATGTTTGACTGACACAGTTTAAGGAACTCCCCAGGCAGTCTGTCACCAAAACATGACATCCCTGAACATTTCAGATATGTTTAAGTTGAGGATAATAATATTTTTACTATAATCAGTTACTCCTTACTGTGATCTTAAACTGAACAAGAAAAAGGGTTATGTGTGGTTTTTGTATGTCTTCAGATATGTTCATCACCACCCTACCTTGATGGTGACCTTATACAGAGGTCATACTAGTCCCTGTAATAATTTTCAGTTATTCATTATTGTGAATCACAGTTCTGCTCCCTGCAGGTGTATAGGGTCTATTAATGACTGGCATTTGTATATTAGCACAATCTATAGTAACACTTCATACCTCTTTTTCATTAAGGGAAAAGAAGGTCAAACATCAGAATGGAGATCATGAAAATCTGATGAATATGGTAAGTATTTATTTCTGGCAGCTTGTGTTAACTTGCATCAATCTCCTTGCAAAATATCGCCGGTTAGAAAATAGCTCGGGAATCTGAAGAGGGTTGAGCATGGGAAACTTTAAAAGTTAGAGAAGAGAAAGAGGAGGAAAACTTGTCTAGACCCCAGTAATCTGCACTCTCTCAATGCTATTTCTGCCACCGTTGTCACTCCAGATCTCCTGCCTTTCTTTCACTCCATTTGCAGTACAAGTGCAGTGTACCCTTTGTCAGCTGCTATCTTCTCATGGATTGAAGCCATGGTAGTTTCTATTACCGTAAAAGTTGGGAGATCACTCTGGACACCCTTGCATTTATTTGTTTTAACATCTGTGAACACAAGCACCTAAATCTTGGAGTATAGTTGCCATGGTTTGACTCTCCTGTCAGTAATATCTGTGAGTCAGAGCTCCTGAGATCAGAATGATATTTGTTGCATATCTATTTATGTGAACATCTATTCTGATCCAACAGTGATTAGATCTCGCTAATTTGTGTTGCAGCCTTCTGACAAGGAGGTGTTCAGTCACTCAATCACAAGTTCGGCTACAGAGCCCCCTCCGAGCAGCGACCAGAATGGGGCACTCAGCAATGGAGAGGGTGAGTAGCACATCCCCTGAGGGTGGGTTGAGCGAGCTGTGCTGTCCCCTTGCTCACAGCTCCCGCGTTAGCTGCACATTGGTGATCCCTCAAGTCTTAGGTTTCTAGTCATCAGCTTTCCAAGCACACAGTCATGTCATTTGTCTGAATACCCTTTGTTTCCCTCTGTTCACCTCCAGAGCTCTGACACCAGATCAGCTGCTGCATGCCTGGGCAGTGGCTGGGCATGCAGCTCTCTGGAGGGCAGTCAGTCCTCTTCACACAGGACCTAATTCACACAAAACTTATGATCAACTTTAAAAATGCAGTGAGCACGTTTGCCTTCCTGGGAAGTCAGTAGCCCTTCGCTGCATCTCCACTTCCCTGCTGGGCGTGCTCTGGCACAGCCCTACACACCCAAGCTCCCAGTCCTCCACGCCAACCAGCACTGGTGCTAAGGCCCTCCTGTGGGCCACCAAGCTACCCCTGCAGATTGACCAGGCCATCAGGCAAAGACTGTGGCATTCCCTGATCTTGGCCAGCTACAGAGTTGGGATGTGACCAGAAGATGCAGTTGTACCTCAGAGCTTCACTCCTGGAGGCTGTGGAAGTATTTCAGGTCTTCTTCCAGGGACTACAGCTTTGGATCATAGTCCTGTGCTGTGAGAGGTTGTCACTTGTATTTTTGTATTTTAGAAAACAGGCAGCATAAATAGGCTTCCTTTTTTTTCTGTAGTTTTTGCTTTGCTGAACGCTTAAAATGATTCACAGTGAAGTATCACTGGAAAATATTTTACTCAGCTGCAGCTCAAAATAAACTCGGTCTCAGCTCAGAGCCACTGGGAGCCAACTGTTGTCTCCACACTAGGCACCGACACCATGACTGCATTCCTCATCTCCTACCTCCTCGTCTCACTGTTCAGCTGGAGGCTAAGCTATTCAGTTTTTACACCTCAGAGACAAGTATTGAAAGGAATTCTTAAACTTGTTTTTCCAGCTAATCTCTGCTCCCGTCCATTGGCTTGTTGCGTATGTAGGTGTGTGGCTCAGCAAGGGACTCAATGAGCAAAGCCCTGCAGAAGGGGAGCAGTTCTCTTTACTACGAGCTACCACACATGCAGCTGTCAAAGCTGCTACTAAAAAGCATGCTGTCAAACAGCAGACAGTTTTCAGACTGTCTGATATTACTCAGCTTACACTCTGCATAACAACCTTCTGAATAACAGGAACCAATGTGCTTTAATTTCTTATTTACAGTTTATGTGTTCTTTTGCTGTTTCTGCTAGCCTTTTGAGCAGGGCTATAGAATCGGCACCATCAAACTTTTTTTTTCCTTTACTCAACCTGCCAGCATTGTGTTTGTATATGCCAACCCCTAACCCATAACCACATGAGCATGTGAGCTCTCATTACTTCTGGTTATCCCCCCCAGACTGAACAGGATGGGTGCTCTCTGAAACCTGTGCATGCCTGTGTGCATAGCACAGAAATCCCTGAGAGCAATCACCAGAAGGGGAAAAAACACATTCTAGCATCTCCAGACTGGATCCTGATGTTCCTCAGGAAGTCTGCAGGCACCCTGGGTAGCAACTAGAACAAACACCCTGAGTGCTAGCCAGGACACGATAGGACACTTTCTCCTATTCCACCTATTCCTCCCCAGTTGTATGCAGGAGCCAAGTGAATGGAGAAGGATATTTTCCTTTTCTTTTCCTCCCATCTCCCATTCAGACAGCAATTACCATCTCACACCTCCAGTGCCATCCTAAGATTTGCTGTCAGCAAATCTGCTGTCACCCTGTGGGTGCTGACTGCATGAGTCTGCACGCCCTGAGCACAAGAGAAAATGTCCATGACAACCACCAAATAAAGGGTACTGATTGCTTTGGCAACACTGTATGTCATTGTGTCAAACACATTAAAGGAAATGGAGGAATGGATTGATTTTGCTGAGAGTACCATAGGAACTGTACTAAGAAAAGTAAAGCTCTTCAAAAGTAATTTTTCAAAGAAATGTTTATGTACCTTATACTACCTGAAACATGCATATATGTGCCCGTGTATATATACATCCCTGAATGCAGGCAAATATCATATGTGTGCACTGTAAGATGAGAAGTCCCATAGATTTCAGTCCCTAATACCCTCTAGTGACAGTGACACGTGACCCACTTCTGGGACTTAAAATAACATGTTCTGCCTAACACTACTTTCTGAAGTCTAGTCTTCTCTTTTGTGCATATGGCTGGCTCGTTAGTAGGTTGTCAACCTACATTATGTGCTGCGAGACTAAGAGGTGTATGGCATAGCCTTCCAGTGAGGAGCTTCTGGTGTAGCGTGGAGGGAGGCTGACTGCAGCAGGGCTGAGCAAGGTGTGATTCAGACAAGAATTTGGCCAGCATGTTAAACAAGGTGAGGGGTGGGTAGGGAGGAAGCAAGAATGCTTTCCTTTTTGATTCCAAAGAATAGGGAAATGGAAGGAGGAAAATCTAACACAGCTTTTTTTAAAGGCACTTGGTTTGAAGCCTCCCACCTGAGACTACTGAGCAGTCTGTAAGCATTCAGTATAACCAAGTACAGCTCAACATCCATGTGCACCTGCACTTACCCACCCATCCCCTGTTCTTACTGTGAATGCTGTTGCTATACAATGTGACTTGGGGGTGCACGGAGTATTTAAGATGTTGTGAGAGAGAGCTTTTAACAGAGAGTGCAGAAATCTCTCTAACTGAAACCTTCTGATAAACAAAAAACATGATGATCACTAGATTTCCAGGCATTAGTATCATTTATCCTTTCCAATGAGACATAAACCCAAAGTGATGTAGAGACTACCAAATAGCGCTCACCTTATAGTTATGCATTTGTTTTAAAGACTTCTTTGTAATTTTCTCTAGTACTCTCAGAGGACAGTACAACTGCCTGTATCCAGCCTTATGAAGAAGTACAGACATCTGTCTCTGATCTGCTAGACCAACAGGATAGTCTTGGAAAGTCTATAAAATGTCACCAGAGCCGGGAACTACCTAGTATTCCCCCTAATACCACCATGGAAACCATCATCTCAGCTAGAAATGCAGAAAATGATCAAGGTTTTGGAATGGAAGGCCCTTATGAAGTCTTGAAAGACAGCTCCTCTCAGGAGAACATAGTTGAAGACTGCTTGTATGAAACTGTGAAGGAAATTAAGGATGTTGGAGCTATAGCCAGCATGGAAGAGAGCTGTAACAGTAAATCAAAGGCTACACTGACAGTTTCTGAAGGTCAGAATCAGATTCCTGAGTGCAGAATTGAGTCAGCAGAATATGCATCTGTTGACCGAAATAAAAAAAGTCGCCAAAGTGCTAATTCAGAAAGCCCTCTTGATAACACACCAGATGTAGAGGATGAGCTGCCCCCTCCGGTACCCATGAAACTTCTTGATGAAAATGAGAATGTACAAGAAAAAGAAGTGGAAGAAGAAGTGACAGAAGGAGCAAGCAAACCAGAGAAGGTAAATACTGCAAATACTTGTCCTTGTCAAACAGCCAAAAGATGATAGAGAACATATGGGTGGGAGTGGATTTTTTAAATAACAAAAAAAATGCCAAGAAAAAAAAAAAAAACACTCAAGGTGATGCAAGACTGTAAAATATGGAAATATGGAAATGTACAGTATAGTCTTTGCACTACAGACATAGACTCATTCTATTGCAGCCTATACTTTGGATTGTTGCAGTATGCACTTCATAAGGCTTTTTCCAACTATTATCCAGAAATTGCATAGGAGGCCTCTGCTTCTTTGTTTAATGGTATTATACTTGTGGGAGCTCTTAACAATAGGTATCCAGTGGCTCCATCAGCATCTATATCTTGTTCAGAATTCCCCCCTTGTTTTTTTTCTAATGAAACCTCAATTTACAAAAAGGAGAGGGGGCCATTCTTGGTGGATTCCCTAACTTTTGATGTGCCTCCTTTGTTGAGCCACCTTGACTTAGCTGTGCAAGTGTCAGGCTTCTGCTCAAAGCCACTCCTCTCATCTCTCTGTAGGAGAGAGGGACAGGAAGAGAGAGATTGCAGCTGTAGGCTTTTATATTTGTCAAAATCTGTATGCCACATGTAAACAGAGTAATGAATTTCTACCTGCTGAAATCATGGCCAAAAGTTATGTTTTCTCAGCTGCTTATTCTCTCTGCCAGCCTAAGGGACAAGTTAGTGGTAAACTCCTTAAAAAATAGAATGATGACATTTTCCCATTTTTAGTTTTTCACCATAATTAATTTTAAGAATGCTTTCAGATCATTGCACAGAGTTTTCATGAACTGTTGAGTTTGGATTTTTCAGAACTAATTTAGATAACTTATTAATTGTGAATGAAAGAACTGAGATTTTAGCAGATTAATATAATTTTGGCGTCTGAGTCATCAAATAATAATAGGTATTGATGAAAATTTCCAAAAAATTCTGAAGATATAATGTGACATTTTAATGTAAACATTTACTTGAAAGATCAGAGTAGAGCTGAGGTATTTCTACTTGTTTCTGATTGTTCTCTTATTTGAAGTATTTCAGCAATCCAGACAGAGGGCAGAAAAATACTTTGTTAAATAACTGACTAACCATGTTAACCTATAAAGCACAATAGAGTCAAAATGAACAAACTGAAGACTACTTGTAATATTAAAATTGTTTGTCTGGACTCTTCAGTGCGCATTCTTACAAATAACTAGCTCATTAAGTAAAAAATTAAGATGTGATTGTCAGCAATAATCCACCAACATTTCCCCCTCCCAAGTTCAGTCCATATGTAATTTCTAATTAAACTCTTAGAGAAACAGCTTTCTGTAACAGTGACATCTTTCCTGCCAGGTGTGAAAAGGCTTGCAGAAAAGCATTGTATTTCCCAGGCACCGATACAAAGGAAAAGCACTTGCTGCTCTGTAGCTCCCCAGCACACCGTGTATATACAGTGTCAGTAACTGCAAGGAGTGGGAATTGATTAAAATGGTTCAGGTTTTGAAGGATTAATCAAGAGATGACACGTACAGTCCCCTAAGTGCCAGAAAAAAAGGTGTTTGTCTAATTAAAATTTATTCAGAGCAAAAGCCATCCTGAGCTAAAGCTTCAGCAGCATCAGATCATTCCCGCCTTCACTGCTAGGTTACATGCATTATGCATCGAAGCATGCGCCTGTCCTGTCCTTGAGAGCTACAGCTGCAGCGGAGTTGGAAATGGTAATTGATGGAATATATAAATGTCATTATTGTTGGTATTGTGTGGGGAGGTGGTTGTGGGATTGTTTTTCTGTTGTGATGATGATAATTTTTCCGTCTCTTTTGCTGCTTCAAACAATACAGAGCAATGCTTTTTTCTTCTGATGTGGCAACCAAAACCAAGATGTTTATGGAAATTTATGTTATATTGATAACTCCTTTAGTTAAACAGACTCCATGGGTTTCTCTTTGTGTTTCCTCTCTTGTGAGGCTACTTAGCTGCCTTGCTTAACATTACATCCGTATCCCAAACTTTTCAACCTTCTGCCCTGACCGTGAATGGAGAGGTTGGGCATCAGTCATGCCAGTGTCTCTCACTACAATTAGGCTTTGCTTTAGTAGGGAGACAAACAGGGAGGCTACTTATGTAACTTAGACTTGAACATGTCAACAGACAGAGAACAAACCATTACCAGGCTTCTTCAGTCTCACCCTGTAAAAGAGGGCAGCCACGATGATCCCCAGCCCATGCCAATTCCTGAAGCACACTCATCTGAGAGAGAACTAGGTGAACCAAACTAGAGACTGTTCCAGTATGTAATGGCATGAAAAGGATAAAGGATCATTTCAAGATCAGACATGCAATAAACAGTTGAAAATTAATTCTCTAAATTGGTTATTGGCTGTGGCCCACCCAAATCCTTCGGAAGGTTTTGGTAAAGAAAGACACCTTTAATAGCACAAGGCCCCTTATAGGCCTCTATCACCTGGAAAAATTTCATTCTTCTAATAAAATGGGAGAGGCAGAATAGTTTTTCTTTAGTTCTTGCTTTTTAATTTAAAAAAAAAGGGGGAAGTACAGATCTCCTTTTTCACCCAGGTCTTTCCAGAGTGAGCACTGGTAGATATGCTCTCCATGTGTACATCTGGCTGCTGCCATCTGATTTCAGACTTGCGTAGCCTGAGGATGGGCAAACCATCTCTTACAAATGCACCAAAGGAGAATGGTCTTGTTCTGGTGCCCAAGTCAGGAGCAGCAGCTGAGCCAAAGAGCAAAAAATCAAGTGCAGTCAAGGAACAAAAGAAAGGCAAGTAAGGACACATGCTGTTTGTGTTACTGCTGTTGAGGTTTCAGGCATAATTTAGAATGTTTCTAGGTACAAAATGTTTAGGAGCAAGTATTTTTTTCAGCTTCCAAGATGACAGTATCCTTCAAAATTGATGTGTCACAGGTTTCACATTTAGAAGAAAGAACACTAGGTCCTAGGGAAACAAGACCAGGATTGCCAACACCTTGGGATATTCGTCAATACTTGAGTGGGAAACTGTAGAAGAGGTCCTGACACATGGTGCTTATAGACACACTGATGAGAGAAAATAACCTCACTGAAGAATTTTGCAAGCATGTTTGTTTTAATGTGTGAGGATGAAATTAGTAACTTACTCCTCAACACAAAAAATATCCTGCAAATAAGAAAGACTAAACTGAGCTGCTGTAGTGAAGCAGATCTAATAAAGGGCAGAAATACATTTGAACTTCTTTTTCTTTTTTCCTTTTCTTTTGTGGGTGAGTAAACAAACCACAGGTTAAAGAGTTCATTCTCCAGATGAAAAAGAACCAAGGGAGTTGTTAGGTGTGAGGGAAGCCCCCTGGGGAGCATCATGCACTTTGGGTCAGGATCTTTATCAGAGGTGTCCCAGGGGTTTGAAGCTTGATATTTAGCAGAAGTAAAAACACCAAGCAAAATGGAAGTGGGAAAGAATCTGTTGTAATGCTGTCTCTTATACACATGCCTTCTGCTGGGAGAAGTGCTCCCAGACATTAATGAATAAATTGATCCGTGCACTGGGTTTATATAATTTAATCCTGGAAAAGGCTGAAGTATGGATGAGCAGAAGAGCCTTTTTTTGTTTGGTTGGCTGACATCAGTAAAAAGTAAGACGTATTGCCATCTGCAATTGGATGTCTCTCTTTATAAAAAAAAAATTAAAAAAAAATACAGAATTAACAGAAGCGATCTGGTTCATCTGCATCAATCAGTGTGGCTTAATGGTAATAGGCATTTTCATGCCAATCTACTATTTTAATTGGACTGATACAAAACCAGAGTGGCCTTGCATGCTTGGGAAAGACTTTAAATGTAACAGAAGAGCTATGCTGCAATTGCGATATTAAATACCAGACAAGCAGTGCAGAGAATTTCAGCCATCTGCCCTGTGCAAGGGGTAGCATCCACTTGGTCTGGGAGAGGGATTCAAGAGTGGCTCCCTGCGTTCAGTGCCAGCCCCAGCGAGCCCTGAGTGGAGGGACGTGTGTGGACAGTCTCCAGGACCGTGGCAAAACTTGCAAGAGCTCCTGCTCACAAAGTTATTCCCTTTTGTCTAATTTGCCTGCAGGGGATTTATGTTCAAGTAATTTTTACATTTATAAACTTAGTTTATAAAGCATTTTATAAAGCTTGGGTTTTTTGAAAGAAAATCAATTTATAAATGCATGCCAGAACAGGACTTTGTAAGAAATCCCTTTTTTTGTGTAAGCAAGTATATCTTTTTATTACAAGATCCTGTCTTTTTGTAAGTAACTGACATCCTTGTGGTGGAATGGGTACGAACTGGCATACAAGCTATATGCCATATTTAAATACTCAGCAGGTGTCTCCTTTTCCTAGATCTCAGCCATGTACTCGTCAGTGAGTAAGCCGGGACAGGCCATCAAGGCACTGGATTCTCCTTATACCTGTATTCAAGAAATTGCTTCACAGAGGTCCCCATCTATTTGCAGTGGCCTCTATGCAAGTGTGAAGGACTTTGAAAACACCCTAAATACTACCA